TTTTTCAAGGCAGATGTCTTAGGCTGGGTTCTCCAGAGTAGGGGGGGGGGGAGTGAAGCTTAGAGAGAGAGAAAAAAAAAATTATCTCAAGGAAATGGTCACACAGTTGTAGAGGGTGGCCAGTCCCAAGTTCGTGGATCAAATGTCAAGCTGGAGGCTTCTTCTGACTCATGCAGCTACAGGGGCTGATGAACCCAAGATTGGCAGGCAACATCACAGGCTGCTGGCTCAAAGACTGACGAATCCAAGATCAGCAGGTAAAATGGAAAAATCACAGGCTGCAAAGGCAACAGTCCCAAGATCATCAGGCCACTGCTTTTGGTCCAGGAACTAGAGATGATAATAAGCAAGAGGAAGGACCTAGATTCAGCAGAAAGACAGAGACCTTTCCCATAGCTTTTCCATATATACTGAAAGCAGGCCACACCTCAAAGGAAACTCCTTTTCAACTGATTGATTGTTCAGAGCAGATCACATCATGGAGGGGATTACATTATATCAGATTTCATCATGGGGGATAACTACATCATTACTGCTAAACCACTGAGAATCATGGTCCAGCCAAATTAACACACAACCTTAACTCTAAAAACCAAACTCACTGCCATTGCGTCAACTCTGACTCATAGCAACCCCCTTTGGGTTTCTGAGGCGGTAAATTTTTATGGAAGTAGATTGGCCAGTCTTCCTTCCATGGAGTGGCTGGTGGGTTTGAACTGCCTCCTAAGGTCAAATACCTTAGGCACTATGCCACCAGAGCTCCTTATATACAACCTTACCTATCACAGTGGATATCAAATCGATGCAGCAGCATTTATTAACATTACAGTCCTTTCTCTACTGCCTTATGGCATCATCTTTGTCATCAATTAAGTGTTTATAATATATATGTGTGGGTCTGTTGCATTCTGTTTCTTTGGCCTATTTGTCAATCTTTGTATCAATATTACTCTGTCTTAATTACTGTAGCTTTACACTAAGTCTTGATAGCTGATACAGCAAGTTCTTTTACATTATTCCTCTTGGCTATGCTTGCCTTTTTCATTTCTCTTGCATTATTGAATCAATTTGTCTGTTTCCACACATGCACACAAAGTATTACGATTTTGATTGATATTGCATTGAATCTATAAAACAATTTAAGGGAGAGCTAACTCTTTAAATATTGCATCTTTCAATCTCTGAACAGGTCATAGCCTTAATTTATTTAGGTTTAAATTATTTTTAACTAAATGAATAATATAAATACATTTTCATTAAAAAGGCAAATATCAGAAATGAAGCAAGTGTTCCTTCCCTCCGCCCCAAACACAGAAGTAGCCACTGTTACTATATACCTATATGTATGTACATGCATGTACACATGTATGCACACACTCACACACATACCAGATATGGATAGCATCGTATGGATTTGCCACATGCTTTTTTTAAATTTAACAATACAGTATGGACCTCTCTCCATGTCAGATAAACCAAGATCATTCTTTCTAACCACTGCCTACAGTCCAGAAAATGAGCAAGCCCTAGTAAAAAACACAACAAGCCGTGCTGCAGTGAGCATCGTTGAAGATGCCTTCTTGGACATGTGCATGTGTGTCTCTAAGACGTAACCCTAGAAGTAAAGAAATCTACTTGGATGCTGCTGTAATTGCCCAGAGTTGACATTATAAGAGTCTGAACCAAGCTTGAGAAAGAAGAGAGGGAATGGATCTCCTTTCCCAAAATAGCATGTGTTTCCTCTTGACTGTGTGCTGGGCCTTCTGAACCCCTATCAGTCATGGGGCTGCCATAAATTGAGGGTTTATATCACAGGGGAATAAGAGCCCAGGGGCAGCAAGGAGGAGGAAGGGAGCTGACCTGTTGATTAAAGCAGTTCTTAGAACAGAGGTATTCTAATTTGAGGAGGAGGTCCTCAGAGACTCCCTCTCCCAGACCGCCTCCAGGCAGTTCTGGGGCCGGGTTTGCCAAGTCTGAGGTGGTTCCCCTTGGAGCTTGCCCTGCCAACTCGAGTGGCCAGATATGGCTTAACTCCCTCAGCAACAAGCCTGGGCTCGTTGTGTGGAGTCAACGCCCAGGGTCTGAGAGAGACTAAGGGCTACGTTTTATCTTAAGAAGTTTATCCTTCCTGTTCCTCTTCCTCTTTGGTAAGAGAAGGAGGAGGAGGGTTTTTCTACTACTGTGTTGCTTTTCTTATCAGCAAGAGGTCTCCTTTTGTAATTTTTGCATGAAATTGATGTCATTTCCTAGGGAAAGGAGAGGGCTGGCTGGAGAGGGTGGGGGGCACATTAGGGGAGCAGGCAAAGATTTCCCTTCCTGGGCTGGGGAATTGGGGAGACGATGGATAGGAGGCATTCATCTGATGAAGACTCTCAAACCAGCCAATTGGGGTTGTGTTTAATGTGGGAACCTTCCTCCACTAATGTATAATCTTGAACTAACTGCTAATAAAGTGGGGTTCTGTTTGTTAAAAAGAAAGAAAGAAAGAACAGAAATGGGTTGGGATGAGGATGGTTACCTCTAAATTATAACTGCCCAGGCAGAGCCCTGTGCCAACTGCCTCACACACAACTTACTCTAAGCCTTCTGGCAAGCCCATGTGTATCCAATGAGAAAGTTGAACTCAGAAAGGTGATGGGACATTTCCTCACTCACACAGCATGTCAGTGGCCAAGTGACCTGGGCCTGACCACAAAACCTTGTGTATCTGCACTCTTTGGACTGAGTTTCCTAGTTAATGGTGCTGTTGAGGATAGCAGATGCGCAGAACCAAGACCTGGAAATTGATTGAGACAGGTGCTGGAAAGATGGGCCAGCACTGTCACTGATTAGAGGGTGTCCAGCCAGAAGGCCAGACAGCAGCAGGTGACAAGCAGTGTCTGATGAGCCCCCACTGTCTGAGGACCCCTCTCCAGGAAGCCAGAAGCCCACTGTGTAGCAGGTGGGAGGCAATGGCCAGAACACTGGCCACATTCCCAGTTTGCATAGGGCTGGAGGGGCGGGGATGGGGTTTGGGGCAAAGCTGTGCATCCTGGAGGCTCAGACACCTGGCAGGGCCTAGAAGACCCCATCTCCATGTGCAAGGGCCTCCCTCAGCTTCAGAAAGTGGACAAACCACCAGGACTCAGCAAATGCCTAAACCAAAACTCATTGCCTCTGAGTTGATTCCAAGTCATAGCAACACTATATGACAGAGTTGAACTATATGACAGAGTTGAAAATCCATAGGGTTTTTAAGGCTATGAATCTACAGAAACAGACTGCCCCATTTTCTCCCGTGGAGTGGCTAGTGGGCTTGAGCCACTGACCTTTCAGTTAGCAACTGAGCTCTTAACCGTTGCACCACCAGGGCTCCTTAGCAAATGCCTACTAGACTCATATTTCCCTCCCTTCTTCCTCCTGCCCCCAGTCTCTCTTGCCCCCTAGCCTAGTTCCCCATCTTCTCTCCTCCCTCAGGATCTGTCTGGCTTTATATCTTGGATCCCTCTTTTATATTTTATGCTGTTGAGATTTTTAAAACTCTTTATGAGATTTTTTATGAATAACACAAGAGAATCTTTGATTGTAAATAAATGCATGCAAATATAGCTTATTAATTTTTCTGTGCAATATATATGGGTAGATGTGGAGTTTTTCCAGATTGGAATCATATTGGTCATTCTTTTTTGTAGCCTGCTTTCATCACTTATCAGTATATTGTGAACACCCTTCTACAACAAGATGGTTAAAACCTGCAAGGTATCCGTTTGTGAGGGCATACTATAAAGGCTATACAGGCTTTAGAACACAGACTCAAGCCCCAGCCTGCCTTGATATCAGACCCTGGATCTGCTACTCATTAGTTTTATAACTAAGCATGCTACTGCCACTCTGGGCCTTGATTTTCTCATCTGCAGAATGGGGATAATAATAATACCTACCCCATAGGTATATTGTAGGAGCTCTGGTGGTGTAGTGCCTAAAGCACTTGACTGCTAACCAGAAAGCTGGCAGTTCAAACCAAACCAGCCACTTCTGGGAAGGAAGGTTGGGCAATCTACTTCCATAGTGATACCCCTCGGAAACCTAAAGAGGGGTTGCTATGAGTTAGATACAACTCAACGGCAGTGCGTTTTTTTTTTTTTTTAATAGGTATGAGGTAGGGTGTATAAAGCCCTTATAAGGAGCCTGAAAGATCATAAATGCTCAATAAACATCAGATATAGTATCACTGTCATTTCTGGTCTAATGATGATGTCCAGCTTCCTGCCTCATACCCCAGAGCTCATTGCTGGCTCCCAAACTTGACCCAGAATCCTTATCCAGGTCTCCTGGTCCTACTCTGTGCCCCTTTCTGGCCCCTGGGCTAGTTTAGGACTGGTACCTGGAGTCAATTCCCAAGTGGCATTGGTGGGATTTCAGAGAGGTTCTTCCCCAGGTTCTCAGTGACATGAGGGAGGAGGGAAAATAAGAGGAGAAGAAGAAGGGAAGAGATAAAGAAGAGGTAATGATTTAGCCAGTGTCTGGAAGCCTGGACCCAGATCACTTCAAGTCTCATAGGATTCCTCCTCTGATGCCTGAGCCCTGGGTCCCTTCCTGAGTTGGTATCATGGAAGCTGCCCTGTTGTTGTTATTTGCCATAGAGTCGGCCCTGACTCCTAGCGACCCCTCCTTGGGTTTCCGAGGCAGTTATCACTACGGAAGTGGGATTGCCCAACCTTCTTTCCGAGGAGTGGCTGGTGGGTTTGAACCGCCAGCCTCCTGGTTAGCAGTCAAGTGCCTTAGGCACTATGCTACCAGGAAGCTGCCCTAGGAGTGACTATTAGTCAGCTGCTCTTGCTTGGCCAAGGGGCTCACTCCTCGAGGGTTAATACAAGTCATAACCACCCCTCTGGAAAGTTTCTAAGACTTGAGGCCTAGCTTGGGACTCCTGGAGTTGTTGGCTTTGGAGTGGCCCACTGACTTCCAGGTGTGGGTGCAGATGTGGGGTGGCAGCTTAGCTCTGGGCTCTGGGACCGCAGGAGATGAACAACTACCGGCGGGCCATGCAGAAGATGGCTGAGGACATCATCTCGCTGCGGAAGCAGGCCAGCATCCTGGAGGCTGAGAATCGCATGTTGAAGAGCCACCTGAACCTGCAGGAGACCGAGGAAGAAGAAGAGTACAAAGCCGAGGAGGCCCAGAACCTGGGTGAGGTGATGCAGGCCACTGAGGGCATCAGGCCCCAGGCTGGGCCCTGGCTTTGAACTGTGGGAAAGAGAAGGGAAGAACCTTTCCCAACTGCTCCGTCAGGCTGGTAGAGACCCCTCCACACACACACACACACACACACACACTTAGTCCCTACTGGGCCAGGTCCTCACAGGGTTAGTATATTGGTTTCCTAGGGCTGCCATGGAGCTCTGGTAGCACAGTGCCTAAGGCACTTGACTGCTAACCAGAAGGCTGGCGATTCAAACCCACCAGCCACTCCTTGGAAGGAGAGTTGGGCAATCTACTTCTGTAGTGATACTGCCTCAGCAACCCAAGGAGGGATAGCTATGAGTCGGGGCTGACTCGACGGCACACAGCAACACAACAGGGCTGCCATAGCAAAGTACCACAAACTGAGTGCATCATAACAACAGAAATTTATTCTCTCACAGTTCTGGAGGCTAGAAGTCCAGAATCAATGTGTAGACAGGGCCATACTCCCTCTAAGGCTCTAGGGAAGAATCCTTCCTTGCTTCTTCCTACCTTCTGGAGGATTGGAGGCAATCCTTGACATTTCTTGGCTTTTAGGTGCTTTACTCCAATCTCTGCCTCTGTCTTCATGCCTCTTTTCCTGTGTGTATTCTTTATGTGTCTGTATCCAAGTCCATCTCTCCTATAGAGACACTAGTCATTGGACTTAGGGCCCACACTAACCTAGTATACTTCATGTTAACTTGATTATATCTGCAAAGATCCTATTTCCAAATAAAGTCACATTCCTTGGTACCAGGGGTTAAGACTTGAACACATCTTTTTGGAGGACTCAATTCAAGCCACTGCAGAGGAGAATCCAGTCCTGTCTCAAGCTCTAGAACTGAACGACACTTGGCCCCACAGCTCTGCTGATCTGAGTCAGGAGAAGCCACCTCCCTGAGCCAGCTCTCTCTATCCCTCTACCCTTGACACAGTGTCCATGAAGCAGAAACTGCTGTGGAATGAGGTGGATATGAAGAAATTGAGGGACAAGGTGCAGCATTTGCAGAATGAGCTGATTCGAGTGAGTTGAGGCTTTGGGGGCATGAGAAAAAGGGAACAGGGGAAACTAGGGTGGGAGTATCAAAAGAGAAAGGGAGAATAGAAGGAAAGGGGGACTAGGGCAATGGAGGACTCAGCAGGGGACCCAGGGTGAACCCCCCCCCCCAGGGTCAAGGGTGATGCCCAAGTCCCATTCTCCTCCTCCCAGAAAAATGATCGAGAGAAGGAGCTGCTCCTTCTGCACCAGGCTCAGCAGCCACAGTCTGTGCTCCTGAAGAGGTACCAGGACAGGCTGCAGAAGATGAAGGCCTTGGAGGAGACCGTGCAGCACCAGGAAAAGGTTGGTGCCAGAGTGGCTCACCTGCCATGGGCCAGACCACCAAGGCCCAGCCATGGCCGAAAGGTTTGGAGCCCCTGGGGCCAGCCCAGCCTCTCTCCTCTGCCCTCCAGGTGATTCAGAAGATGGAGAGGGTGCTGGAGGACAAGCTGAAGGATAGGAATGAGCCCCTTCTGAATAGGCCGCAGGGAAAACCCACTGTAGGTGAGTCCCCTCCCCAGCCTTTGCCAGTTCCTGGAGGCCCTGCCTTCTCAGGGACTCCCAGCTTCAGGCAATCTGCCAAGAGTGTACTCTACACGGTTTTATCTATGGGTCTAAAAAAGAGGAAAAAAGAAAGAAAGAAAGAAAGAAAGCATTACTCTCCAACTCGTTCAGATCACCTAGTGCTTCCAGAGATCCCCTGGGCATCTTCTCTCCTGCTAGGGAGCCCCTAAGGACACAGGACACGGTGTGTGCACCAGGCACCAAGCTAGAAAAGGGCTCCATCCTTCAGGGAGGGGGCCAGGGCAGACTAGAGAGCAGGAAGGGGAAGAGGAGATTGCCTGGGTCAGAAGTTCCCAACTTCTTAACTCTGGAGACCTTTTGAATTATTTTCCCATCTTCCCATGTCTTAAAAGATTCTACCTCTGTGAACAACTGCCTTCTTTGCCAGGAGACCAGAACTGCGTGGTGCCCAGCTACCATTACTGAACATTTTGATAAAAAGATCCTGATTAAAAGGGAGGCAATACAGAACACAATTTCAAATTCTCATGGGCTCTAGAGTTTCTGGAGCCATGGGAGGGGGGTAGATGAACCCTTAAAACTACTGCCCCGAGATCATCTTTAAACCTCAAACCAAAAATAACCCCTGAAGTCATCTTAAAATCGAACAACAGTTTAACCAGTAAAAAGATCTGCCTTGAGCATTATAATCTTTTAAGAACTATCTAAATGGGATCAAATTGACAACAGCAATTCAAAAGATAAGATGGGAAATTCAGGGGTAGTGAGTTTACATTAATGAGGGAGGAGCAACTCAGAAAGAGAAAGGGAGAATGGTTGCAAAACTCAAGAATATATGTAACCAGTCATTCCTACATTACATATACATTCCTACATTGTATATGTAGGAACTGTTGAATTGATGTATGCTTTGCTGTGCATATTCTCAGCAACAACAAAATAAATAAAATTTCGAGAAAAAAAATGAACTGAGGGGGAAAACTGATTAAAAAGAAAAGATTCTGTCTCTGCAAAAACAAGCAAAACAAACCACCTTGAATAAATCAATGATGTGTTGTTCTTCTTGGCATTAATGAAAGCCACCTAGAACTCCACTCAGAGGTGGTGTGGATGGGCAAGAAAAAACCAGGTCACACCATATCAGGCCAGCCCTTAGCAAGGGCTTTTTGGAGTTCATTTATGCAGCCTCACCAGGGATTCAGCATGCCCAGCCCTGTGCTCAGCCTTCACTGGGTGGATGGGATGTGTGGAGCTCCTGCAGGAGAGGGTTGTATCTGGAGACCTTTAGAAAACAAATGAAAGCTTCTTTCCCCCACCCCTTTCAGGAACCCCAAAGTCATCCAGAACCTAGGTGAGAGGGAGAAGGCAACCTAGGAAGGAGAAACAGCCAAGGCAAAGGGCCAGGAGGGAGAGGAATGTGCAGAGCTCAGAAGGGAGGAAAGATGAGAACTGAAATACACAGCAGGACAGCTGTAGGAGAGGGGTTGTTAGGGAGAACTTGGGGTCTGAGGAGTGTGGGCCTGACTCCACTGACAGTAGGGAGCCATTGAAGGTTTGTGAGCAAAGGAAGAGCAGCATGGGAGCAAAATACTGGGGCAGATAGGGGCAGGGATGGTGAGGCTGGAAAGCCCATCTCACGAATATCTGTGGTCACTTTTACAGCCTTCCCCACACTCTCAGCCTCCGGCCTTCCACCAGGTCCTGTAAGAGAGAACTTGCCTGGTGACCTTTACTCAGTGCTGCTGGCGGAAAACTCAAGGCTGCGGGCCGAGCTGGATAAAACCCGCCACCAGTCGGCCCCCATTATTCTGCAGCAACAGGCCCTTCCGGTAAGAACTGCCACCACAGACGTGGCTGCAGGCTTGTCTTGTGCTGGGCACGCAATCATCCCAGCACAGTCCAAGTTGAAGAGCTAGACCAGGGGCTAGGCTTCCCAGAGTCTCTCATTTGCCTGAAGTCTCGTGGAGTCTCAGCTCTCAGGCCTTGCTGTTTTTCTCCTGGGGAACATGTATGTCTAAAATCTTCACCTTTACCCTCATTGAGCATCCTGGGAGAAAGCAAGGCCCTAGGAGTCCCTGGGTGACCCAAACAGTACTCAGCAACTAATTGAAAAGTTGACAGTTTGACTTCACCCAGAAGCACCTCAGAAGAAAGACCTGGCAATCTATTTCTGAAAGGTCACAGCATTGAAACCCCTATGGGGTGCAGGGGTCATCATGAGTCAGAATCCACTTGATGACAACTGGTTTGGTTTTAACTGGCCCTTGACTCCTGAACACTGACCCTTTTCACCACCTGGCTGGTCTGCACCTGGCCCCTCCCAAGCCTCTCAGAACTCCCTGCTGGAGCCTTTTCTGGGATTGATGTAGCCTTGGAGAGCCCTTTTCCCCATCCCAGGTGGACCCCGGGGAGATGGGAGCAGGAGGAGACTTGAAAGAGAGGCTGCGAGAGACCAATGGCCCAAGCCACTCGGAGTACAAAGAGACTCTATCCAGACAGGTGGGTGCCTCAGGCCCCAGAAATGCCCTGCCCCGTTCTACTTCCAAGGCTTCTGCAGGTACCCCTTGCTTTGCACAAACCTATATCCAGGTCATTAACCAACACACTGCCGTTGAGTTGGACCTGACTCATAGTGACCCCTCCTTGGGTTTCCGAGGCAGTATCACTACGGAAGTAGATTGACCAACCTTCCTTCCGAGGAGTGGCTGGTGGGTTTGAACCACCAGCCTTCTGGTTAGCAGTCAAATGCCTTAGGCACTATGCTAACAGAGCTCCCATCCAGGTCATTGGGAATTACAAAATTATATATGGTGGGGCAGAGCCCAGGAGAGTTTTTTTCTTCATCCTAGGGCCCATGGGAGGTGAGTTCTGTTTGAAAGCAAACCTGACCATGGACCTCCAGGTAAAAGGCAAGGGGTAGGGGAACTCTTGCTTCTCAAATGGATTATTCACTTTACAAAAGGACACTCGGTTCAGGATTCCCTTCTGTGCATTAAAGAGATCTCCCTAGTGCATTTTACATTAAAAAAAAAAAAAAAAAGGAATATGTAAAAATGTCATATATCCAAAATCTGTGAGGAGAACAGCTATGAGAAAGCCCACTACAGGCCTGGTTCTGAACTTCTGGAAGAAGGGGTCCCAGACCAGACTCGAGACTCTGCAGTCAGGAGGAAGCTGAGTTTGGAGCTCAGAGCTGGCTGGTTTCTCCTTCAGTGCCTCACAGTCTCCTGAGCTCACAGGGCCACAGCCCGCAGCCATGGACTGGGGCATATGCAAGTCTCCACTCTGCCCACAGGATCTCCTTGCCAATACTTCAGACAAGTTTAACCTCTTGGCCAAGCTGGAACGAGCTCAGAGCCGGATCCTGTCCCTGGAAAGCCAGGTCAGTGAAGCTGACCAGGGGTCCATTAGGCTGGGCCCTGTGACCAGGGTTACAGCTCAAAGTGTGATCAGGATCAGGGCTCAGGATGTGTCCAGGCTCAGGGTTCAGCCTGTGACTGGTCAGGCCTCAGTGTGTGATCAGGGTCAAAGCTCAGCCTGTGACTAGGATCAGAACTCAGTCTATGACAGGCTCAGGCTCAGTATGATGGAACTCAGGGAAGGTCTGTTTGTATCTTAGGCTTTCATCTAGGGTCCTTCCCCACTCTCCCCTGCCACCCATGAAGTCTCTTGGGAAGGTGTCAAGCCTACACTGCCTAGGGCTTTACTTTCTGCCTCAAAAGGAGACTCAGGCACTGGTTGTCAGGGATGGACTTTGCTGCCCACTGACCCTCCACTTCTCCCTTCCGGTATTTGCAGTTAGAGGACTCAGCCCGACGTTGGGGACAAGAGAAGCAGGACTTAGCAACACGGCTGCAGGAGCAAGAGTATGGCTTCAGGCACCCCTCAAACTCTGTCCTCACAGACCTACCCGTGAGTAATGCCTCCAGAGGAGCTACTGCAGGGAGGAGAGAGGGCTGGCAGCCACTCTGCCTTCAAGTCTCTGTTGTTGTTGTAATGTGCCGTTGAGTTGGACCCAACTCATAGCAACCTCTCCTTGGGTTTCCGAGGCAGTATTACTATGGAAGTAGATTGCCCTATCTTCCTTCTGAGGAGTGGCTGGTGGGTTTGAACCACCAGGCTTCTGGTTAGCACTCAAGTGCCTTAGGCACTATGCTACCAGAGCTCCCTGGGCCCTGTGAAAAATCATCCAGGCGGGCCAGCTCCTGGGCTGGGAGTAAGACCTGGGCTCCAGTCACTCCTGTTACCAACTGAAGCCCTGCTCAACTTCCCCACCTGTCTGAGGGGATTGTGATAGCTGTGGACATGAGCATTTCTAGAATGCTGGGACACTGACTCTACTTTAGGACTGTCTTGCTCCTGCACAGAATAGCTTGACGCCCACACGTAAGGATGATCCCCACCCAATTCCACAGAGCCTAGATTCTCCCCTTAGCACACCCCACCTGGAAGACTAGGATGTTGGACTCTTATCTGGCAAACCTGCCCAAGACACGCATTGCCAGATTCCCCAGAACAAATAGGCCTGCTCACAACTGCACCTCAATCTCAGCCCCAGGAACCCAAAACAATGACCCTGATTTCCCTTGCGAACCAGGCTCACAGCTAGAGGCTCAAGGGCTCCAGGGAAGGGATCCAAAGGATGGAGGGCTGACAGAGAACACAAGGCTCCCTTTGCACCTGTCTGCTGAGCCTTGAGCACTCAGGGAGATTAGGTATGAGTCGGGGCCGACTCGACGGCAAACAACAACAAACAACAACAATGAATTTTGAAGTCTTTGTCAAGTTAAAGTGTCTTTGACACTAGACTTTGGATCCTTGAGGTGTGGCTTGGTCACACAAGATGCACCCCTCGACCCAGGGCAAGAATGCACTTATGAATTTACCTCCCCTTTCTTTGTACACCACAGGAACCCCCGACCCACCCCAAGGACCACAGTCGACCTTCAAAGCTGGACCCATTGCTGCCCAGCTCAGAGATTAATCCCAACCAGCCATCGACCTCCCAGAAGGAGACTTCTAAGTCCTAGCAGACCTGAGCTCTGGAGCAGGCCTCTCACCTGTGCACTGAGGAGTCTCATCCCACCTCCAAAAAAAGATTTTATTAAATGCTGTCGTTCAGTGAGTATCTGCCGCTTTCCTAGAGCAGGCTAGCCTGGAAGCACCAGATTCCTCCTCCCAGACCACACTCTATTCTCTTGTTGGGCCTGGACTCTCTGCTACAACCTACAGTCACTTGTCTGTCTTGGGAACTACCATCTTTGGAGAGCCAGAGGCCACAGTGGACCCAGGAGATTGGGAAGAAGAGAGGTCTTGCAAAGCAGGTGCCAGGGAGATAGGTGCCTTCCAGACCTCCAGAAGAAAGGAAACTGGGACTTTCCATGCGCCCTAAAACATCTATCATGCCTGAAATCCTTTCTTTCAAGCTTGATTACCAATGAAGGAAAAGACTTAAAGCCTGCCTATGGCTCTGATAGCATAGTGCCTAAGGCACTTGACTGTTTACCAGAAAGCTGGCGGTTCAAACCCACCAGCCACTCCTCAGAAGAAGGTTGGGCAATCTACTTCCGTAGTGATACTGCCTCGGAAACCCAAGGAGGGGTCACTATGAGTTGGGTCTGACTTGATGGCAAATAACAACAACATGGTAATCAGTAACATCTTAGTATGAAATACTCCATTAAATAGGGCTAGACTGGACTGGCAATATTATGTCCAAATGTAGCCAGGGACAGAAATGCAAAGCAGATGGGGACAGGAGACCTAGTTTTAGAATCAGGAGACCTGGTTATAGCTTTAAGCATGCTGTGTAACCTTGGGTGATTCAAACAACTTCTCTGGGCTCCAGTTCCCCACCTGTCCAAGGCAGAACTTGATCTCTTTGGCAGTAAGGCCCTTCCCAGCTCTAACATTTCTGAGTCAAAGGTGACTCAGGTCTGGAAAAGAGAAGAGAAGTGGGAGAGAGAAAGACAACAGGAAGAGAGTTGTATGATGGGGGAAAGCAAAAAATTTCCAAAAGGGGCCCAGAACCTGTAGATCCCAGTAGAATAGGCCAAGTCAATTGAGTCACATTCCTGAGCTGGACTAGCTGCCCTCTCTTAGGGGATGTAGGTAGCCAAAGGTCAGGGAAGATCAGATACCTGCACAGGACAGGAGCTCTGGAACTCAGAAGGTGTTCCAAACCAAACTCCTTGCCATCAAGTTAATTCCAACTCATAGTGATCCTATAGGACAGAGTAGAACTCCCCCATAGAGCTTCCAAGGCTATAAACCTTTATAGAAGCAGACTGCCACAGCTTTCTCCCGTGGTGTGGCTGTTGGGTTCAAACCACCAACCTTTCCTTTAGCAGCCAAGAACTTAACCACTGCACCACCAGGACTCCTTCAGGAGGGGTTAAGCAGGCTGAAATGAGGGACAAGTGTCAGTCAGTCCAAATAACATACAAGAGACTGTAGTCTCCCTGACCACTACCCAGAGTTGGGCAGGTGGAGACTTCCCCCTGGGGCAGGAAGTTGAGTCCTGGGGCAACTCCAAAGGTGGAACAGCTAGGGCAGAATTATGCTGGCCTCTCACCCCCGGGGTCAGTCTCCTTACATTGAACCCTACATGGCCCTGTCCAAAATTCTAGCTGGCCTTGGCAGGAAGTTCTTATGACTCTACAGGGAGTCCCCACCCAGAGTTTAGCCAAACAGAGCCTCACCCCTGCTAGGCAAGCCCACCCAGGAGCAAGATTGGCCTCCTTCCCAGCCTCCCTTGCTCTTAGCAGAACTCCACCACTTCCTGATTCCTCTGCCCAATGCTTCAGTCACTCCTGTCACAGTGACAATAAGACCTCTACCTCTTCTGCCTCCCTTCCCCAAACCCCAGGGAGCAGAGGGGTTGATCCTGCTGGCTCCTGAGTTGCTGTAGGGGGTGGGTCACGATAGAAGTGGGTGCCTTGGATGCCTCATTTAGGCCTAGATCACCTGTTGACCCAGGGTAAGGGACCCTCTCCACAGGAGTGGTGAATACCTTAGGGGTCAAATATAAATTAAGACACTTCACATATACTACTGCTGTTTATTATCTTCCTGGAATGGGCAAGGAGGGAGAGAGGTGGAGGAAGAGAGAAGTGTCCCAACTGAGCTGAGAAAGTTGACCACTGAGAGCCAGATCCATCCACAAGGGGCTGCCACCTAGTCAGAGAAGGGTAGGAAGAAATGGGGGCAGCAAAGGACTGAAGACACAGAGGCTTGCACAGGGTCCACCTCATTCCCAGCCCCTCCTCCCACACCACAGCTGGTGGACACACTCTCCAGGCAGGGCCCACCCTCCATCACGCCTGGAGCGAGTCCTGGTTGAGAGGCCGGAAGGTGAAGAAGATGGGCTTGCTGGGCACCAGGATGAGGTGGAATGTGGTGTCCACGTCACTGAGATGTTGGATCTCAATTTTGAAGTTTTCCAGCATCTGAGAAAGTAGGATGGTGGGCTTAAGAAGGAAGGAGGAGAGGAGCTATCTCTCTTGGGTCAGGACTCTGGTCACCTGCAGGTAGGGCCTACCAGTGGGGTTTGAGGAGCTCCAAAGAGTTCATCTCCTGCTCCTCATTTAAAACTTCACAGTGCCTGAAAACATACCATCAGTGCTGTTCCCTTGATTTAGACTTTGCCCTTAACTTGTTTCTACAAAACCCCAACCTCATTCCACCCCATCCCATCACTACTGGAGGATGGAGAGTGGGATGGATGGCTATGGAGCATCAACATATAATGAGTGGATTAGCCCAAAAGAAGAGGCAGCTGAGGATTGTAGGGGCAGGAAAAAGGGGAAAGGCAAGTAATTAGGGATAGATATATCCTGGGCTCTGGACAGAGAGGGGAGAAGGAGTGTTGGGGCCTTCTTTAGGAGCCAGCAGCTGGATGTTCCCAAGCCCTACTCACGTGGATGAGAAACAGCGTCATCTCAAGCTCAGCGATGCGTCGGCCCAGGCACTGCCGTGTACCCCAGCCAAACCCCAGGTTCCGGAAGTAGGTGATGTCCCTGTCTTTGCTCAGCCATCGGGTTGGGTCAAAACAGTCCGGGTTGGAGAAGAAGGTGGGGTCCCGACCCATGGCAAAGGTAGCTACCTGCACAAGTGTCTAGGGCAAGGTGGACGGAGGCCTGAGTAGTGTGACAGCCAGCTTCCCCCTCCCCTACTCTCTGTTCCCCACACCCACGTCCCAGAATGGCTGCCCAGAGGCCCAGGGTATAACCTAGAACAAGGCCCTGGCCTTCCCTGAGCCTCACCCACCAAATAGGGATAGTATCCCTGGCCCCAAGTCCATTAGGATCCTGGGATGGCTGAAGACAAAAGGCTACGTGTGGCCCGAGGGATTGTCTTCAGCTCCAGAGGGCTCCCTGAGACCCAGGCCACGTGTGGTCTCTTCCTTCTAACCCAGGACTCCAGCAGCACTCCGAAAGTTACTCCTTATGGTGCTACCACCCTTGCCCCTCATTCAAACTCAGGCTTCTGCTGCTGAAGTCCCCACCAGGGTCCCAACTCCAGGGAGAAAGGCAGGACAGATACCCATCACCTCCCTCTGTCTGCAATTGCACAGTCTCCCCCAGCCCCCTCTCTCTAACTGGCAGAGCCTACAGCAACCCCCACTCCGACTCCCACTGCACCTACCTTGGCAGGAATCTTGTAATCTTGAATAACCACATCATTTACAAGATATCTCTGCACGGTCACAGAGATGGGGTGGAGTCTGTGGGAGGAGGGCACTCAGGCTGACAGCCTTGAAACTTGGACAGCAGTTATGCCCCCACCCCTTCACCCAGCATGGCATCCCAGCCCAGCTGCAGCACCCAAAGTATCTGGAGACAGGATCTGGACTCTATTTTCTCCTCTCCATTCCCAGCTGTCTCCCCCAGACCTCTCATTTCCTGCTACCAATCTCCTCCACCAGCCTGTCCTTGTAACCCTTTCACCTGGCACTGCTCTGGCCCTGCCCTGGGGTTTCGGCAGGGGGCACAGTTGAATATGGACTTGCCTCAGCGTCTCCTTGATGCTGGCTTTGAGGAGTGGAACCAACTTGAGCATCATGTGCATGTCTCCATTGGCCTGGCGCCGGGCAGCCAGGACCTCTGCCCGCAGTGCCTCTTGCAACTTTAGGTTGCGGGCCATCTCATACAGGTTCCACTGCAGTGTCATGGATGTCTAGCAGGGGCCAGGGTGCAGAAGACCAGGAGGGTCTGTCACTCTTGGGGCTCTTTGAAGTCCATGACCCAGGCTAAAATTTCCTTTCCAACCAACTGCCTGTACCCTCCTCCCAGATTCCAAACACCACCATCAGCAAAAGCAAAGCATAATTCAAAAGACAAAGGCACAAGAAACCCTTCTCCCTGCGCATGCAAGGGATGTTTGGGATACCACTTGTCCCTTCCCTCATTGCTCATGTCACTGGAACCTATCCTACACAGCCACTGCTACATCCTAAAGAACTTAAAAAAAAAAAAAAAAAAAACAGAAAGCCAAACCCATTGCCATCAAGTCAATTTGGACCCATAGTGACCCCATTGGGTTTCCAAGGCTGTAAATCTTTACAGAAGTAGATTGCCTCATCTTCCTCCTGTGGAGCAACTGGTGGGTTTGAACCTCTGACCTTCTGGTTAGCAACCAAATGCCTTACCCACTACGCCACCAGGCCTTCTTCAAAGAACTCCAGGGACCTTTAAAGACCAAATCCTATTGCTTTCATGAATGACTTTCTTGAATGACTGCCATTCCTTTAGAATGCCTTATTAAACAACCACCCCTCCCTGTATCATCATAGCTTAAAATCAACCTCAAAGATACTGGACCAGAACCACCAGACCTGTTTTCTATTAGTGTTGCAATTAGCATGTGGCATGCACCAAGATTAACCAGTTCATCTCAAGATTAGCCAGAAGTTATGATCTTGAGTCCTTTGCTGGAGGTATGAGTGACCCTAACCAAATCCCACAGTTGTCCCAGATTTCTCAATGTTGACAAACTAAGCCCATTTGGGACTCCAGCCTGTGACAGCACTCCCTCCTGGGAAAAGAGGGTGGAACATGGATTGTTGATACATTATCTTACCAAAGGTCGCTTTTTTGTCCAAAAGCCTTGGATGTCCTCCTTCTTCTGAGCAGAGGCAATAATGAGAAAATGTCACCAAGTCACATCCTAACTTAAAGTTCTTGCCTGGACACCAGATGAAGTCCAGAGGTTCTGGCCTGACCCACAAGGTCCCTCAACACCTGGTCCTTGCCTGCTGCTCCTCCACTCCCATCTCTCACCTCTCAGCAACATGCACCTTATGCTCTAGCCACACTGAGCTACATGCAGCTCCCATAGCCCAGAAATCCTCCTAATGCCACCAGGTCTTTCCTCTTCCTGAATCTCTGTGTCCCACCTTGGATGTTGTTGCTGTTATGTGCCATTGAGTCGGATCTGACTCATAGCAGCCCCTCCTTGGGTTTCCGAGGCTGTATTACTACAGAAGTAGATTGCCCAACCTTCAAACCCACCAGCCTTCTAGTTAGCAGTCAAGTGCCTTAGGCGCTACCTTACCAGAGCCACCTTGGAAGCAAGTATATATTCCTTCTTCAAGACTCAGATCAAATGTATTTGTCCAAAGCTGGACACAGAGTTAACTACTCAGGAACTAATTGTTTACTAAGGCAATTAAGTTACTACCTGTGTGACCTTGAGCATGTTACTTAACCTCTCTGTGCATTGGTTTCCTCATCTAAAAAATGAAGACAATAATTAACATAGATTATAGTGTTGTTTGTGAATATTACTTAATATGTGTAAAAACCTTCAATGAGATGGATTGACCCGATAACCTCAACAATGGGTTCAAACACATCAAAGATCGTGGAGTTGGAACAGAATTGGGCAATGTTTCATTCTGTTATACAAAATAAGGTCACTATGAGTCAGAGCCAGTTTGACAGCAACTAACAACAACAACAATGTGTGAAAACTTAGGACCATGCCTGCTATATAGTACATGCTCAATAAATGTACCTAATAAGAATAGCTTATTTGGTGCAGGCATTTTTTGGAGGTCTCTTCTGACAATGAACTAAGTTCATTCACATGGTCTGATACAGACTGATGGCCCTTAGACACTCTTTAAGACTATGGCCCTTAGATACTTTTTAAGCTTGGAACTGAACTTACCCCCTATGGCTCAACTTTTAGCCAAACAATAGACAGGCCTAAAAGGTGAACAATAACACCAGGAGGAACACACTCCTTAAAACAATCAACCAGGGAGGGAGAGGAAGAAGGACAAATAGAAATAGTAAACTCAGGGAGGAAGTGAAAAAGTGTCATTACATCGTGGGGACTACAATCAATGTCACAGAACAAAATGTGTATGAATTGTTGAATGAAAAACCAATTTGCTCTGTAAACTTTCACCCAAATCACCCAAATAAAAAGTTAAAAAAAAAATCCACCTGCAACCTGTCACAGGAACCAACATTCCTCCATTAGAGCATAATATGAATAAATCTATTCATTTCTACTAAAGAAAGCACCTAACCCAGGGAGCTTTGACAACATATGCTTCTCCCTAGTCCTGAAATGTTATTCCTTCTCTCTCCTCCTGGCATCATCCTTCAAGACACAAGTTGGATTTTAGCTCCTGAGCAGCCTCCTCTCTGCCCTGCAAGGTCACACTAGGTCCTCCTCTCCTCTCTGCTTTGCCAGTCCCTAGCCCTAATGGCACAGTGGTTATGTGTTTGGCTACTAACTAAAAGTTGGAGGTTCAAACTCCCAGCTGCTCAGCTGGAGAAAGCTGTGACAGTCTGTGCCGGTAAAGATTACAGCCTTGGAAACCCTATGTGGAAGTTTCAGTCTGTCCTACAGGGTCACTTTGAGTAGGAATCTGCTCAATGGCAATGAGTTATTAGCACAGGTCTCTGTCATCATTGCCCTTCTAACTTGGTGTGGTACTCATCTATTTCCATCACTGGCTCTTCCTGTGAGCAATTTGATATCTTGAATTCTAAGTTGTGTATCTTTAGAGTCTCAGCGCCTAAACCACAATTTTAAGTCATTAAACATTCATGCAAATAAATAACCCTCAAGATCACATGAGAAATCCCTGGGTGGTACAACCAGTTAACGTGCTTGGCTGCTAATGAAAAAGTTGGAGGTTGGAGTCTACCCAGATGTGTCTCAGAGGAAAGGCCTGGTGACCTGTTTCTGACAAGTCATCCACTGAAAACCCTGTGGAATATAGTTGTACTCTGACACTCATGGACTCACCATGAGTCAGAACCTGTCGTTGTTGTTATTTGCCCTCGAGCCAGACCCGACTCATAGGGACCCATCCTTGGGTTTCTGAGGCAATATCACCATAGGAGTAGATTGCCCAACCTTCCTTCCGAGGAGTGGCTGGTGGTTCAAACCACCATGTAGAAATGGGGCCTCACAGCCTATCACTAGTCATTGCCTCTCACAAAACTCAGCCTTCTGGTTAGCAGTCAAGTGCCTTAGGCACTACGCTACCAGAGCTCCTAAACCTACTCAATGCCAACTGGCATATCACCTTAGCATGGGAAAATGTAAGAAATTGGCAAAAGGGATGGTACACAAAGACAGGTAAATTTTGACACTCAAGAAAAGAATTTTTGTGGTATTGGATGCTGCTGTGGAGAGGAGGCGTGAAGGAGATGCCACAGAGTAGAAACCTAGGCATCAGGGGTACTGTAGTGGGTTGAAAACTGACCCTCCAAAAAAGCTGTGTCCATGTCCTAACCCCAGAACATTGGTCCTAAACTCCTTGGGAGATCACAGACTTCTCTGAGGAATAATGGATGCCTTTGACCCTCTTCCTCCAGAAAAATCTAAACATCCCTAGTGTGAGATGATTTGGAAAATAGTCTGCAGATAAGCTAAGAATCTACAGATAAGATCATCGTTGATTACTCAAGTGGACCCTAAACCCAAAGACCAGTGTTCTTAGAAGAGAAGAAGAGAAGAGACAAAGAGAAAAAAGGGCCATGTGAAGACAGACGCAGAGATTGTAGTTATACAGCCACAAGCCAAGGAACAGCCTGGAGCCAACAGAAGCTGGAAGAGGCAAGGAAGGAGTGTCTCCTAGAGTCTTCCAAGGAAATGCAGCCCTGATGGCACCTTGACTTTGAACTTTAGGCCTCTAGAACTAAGAGGGAAGACATTTCTGTTGTTTTTAAGCCATCCGGTTTGTGGTCATTTGCTGTGGCAGCCACAAGATACTAATATAGGTACAATGGAGTACTGAGGTCTGGAAGGAGGAGGATGGGAGATGACAAAAAGGCCCTGAAGAGCAGAGTCCAGGACATACTCCTCTTGCCTCTACTTTGTCTGAGATCCTGCCTTCTTCCCTGGCTCTGAACGAGCGGTGTGTGTCTTCACTCAGATATTAGAGGCTCACGACTGGAAGGACATAGTCCTGCTGCTGGGCTTCCACCAAGTAAGATTCCAGGGGAATCTCTCCTTTTAAAGACTGTAGAAATGGGGCCTCACAGCCTATCACTAGTCATTGCCTCTCACAAAACTCAAAAACCAAGCTCACTGCTGTGGCATCAGCTCTGACTCACAGTGACTCCTCTTTGGGTTTCTGAGGCAGTATCTCTACAGAAATAGATTGTCCAATCTTCCTTCTGAAGAGTGGCTGGGGGGTTTGAACTGGCAGCCTTCTGGTTAGCAGCCAAATGCCTTAGGCACTATGCCACCAGAGCTCCTATTGTTATTGTTAGCTGCCCTCAGTTAGATTCTGACTCATAGCAACTTCATGAGACTGAGTAGAACTGCTCATGGGATTTTCTGGGCTGTAATCTTTAACAGAGTAGATCACCAGGATCTTATGGAGCTGCTGGATGGGTTCAAACTACCAACCTTTCCATTAGCTACCATGACCTTAACTGTTGGGCCACCAGGGCTCAGTAGGATATAGAGACAGGAAGGAGGATATATCACATCTGGGTAGGACCCCGCCCTAAAAACAGGGTTCCAGATGCCAGGGCAGCCTGGTGAGGAGGATCATGTGGACACAAGGGTCAACAGCCATGCCCCTACAGCAACCTCACCGTGTCCACGCCGCCTGCCAGCATCTCAGTGATATTGGCCTTGACGTCTTCAAAGGGCAGCTTGCTATTGCCCAGGAGGCGGTAGAGGATGCCAGGGTAATCGTTGAAGACTCTGTTTTGTCTCAAGTCCCAGTAGAAGTTCTGGGTGTATTGTTCCGCTGGGGTTGGGAAGAAGGAGGAAAGAAAAAAGAGTGAGGTTTCCTGCAGGTTGGAAGGAAACAGCACCAGGAGCTTGAGGATCCTGAAGCTCTGTGCTTCTTAAGCTGCCGTTTCACTGAGCACTTTCTCTGTAGTATCGTCATATCTGCTTTTTCATGTAGTTGTTGACCATAACTCCATAGGGTAAATGATATCACACTCACTTTCTAGATAAGGAGACCAAGGCCCAGACAGGTTAGTCACTAGCCCAAGGTCACATGGGTATAAAAGGCAGAGGTGGAATTTGACTTCAGGTCAAATTCAGGTGAATTTGACTTCAGCATTCACCCCCATCTTCCCAATCTCTCTCACTCAAGTGTTAATCTCTCACCCAAGCCTTAATCTCCTGTTACACATTGGCCCTTAACCCCCTAGGGATCATGGACCCCTTTGAGGAATTATGGACGCTATTGATCCTCTTTCTCCAGAAAAATCTAATCATCCTAACAGCCAGCACCAGGCCATCATTGTCAGGGGTTCTGTGACCCTCCTGACACCCATCCCAACCCACTAGGAATCAGGTTACCTATGTGGGCATGTCAGTGCTATTGGCATAAACCTATTGCCATTGAGTCAATTCCAACTCATAGTGACCCTATAAGACAGAATAGGACTTCCCCATAAGGTTTCCAAGGCTTTAAATCCTTAGGGGAGCAGATTACCAGATCTTTCTTCCACAAAGTAGCTAGTGGTTTCAAACTGCCCACCTTTCAGTTAGCAGCTGAGTACTTAACCACTGTGTCACCATAATACAGGACAAAGAGGCAGGCCCAAGCCTGGGCCCTCTAGGTGGCTTATTCTGTCTCTACCAGGCCAGAGGTAGACATTATTCCTCTGCTCCCCATACATGGCTGTCCAGAGGAGCCCTTACCTTTGTTGAAAATTACGTCCCATGCAGCCACGTGGTCCCTCCAGGTCTTGGTCCTGAGCAGGCGGAACAGATCTGGGGGGAGGCTGAGCATGGGGACGCTGGTGTGGAACATCTGGTATACGGCATTAATGAATCTCTGGGCCTCAGGGTCCACCACCTCCTGTAACATTCCCAGGCGCTCCCCAAATACGACGTTCGTGATGGCTGTGGAGGGAAGCAGAGGCTGCGGAGCCTTCCACCTTGATCACCATGGAGCCTCACCTCCCAGAGATTCCCAACCCCTCCACTCCCACCCCCAGCTTGTGCACGTACACACATAACACATGTACACATGACACATGTACACATGACACATGTATACACTACTGTGATGCATGAAAAACATACAATACTCACAGCATGCACGCAACACCTATTCTCAGTCTCCTTCCATAAAGCAACTGACGCTACGGTCCCAAAGGGCTAAAAGGCAGGACTGATGACAGCTGCATTTCTGGCAACCACCCAGGCCCTTTAGCAGGACATGTGGAAGACCCTGGGAAGGGACCACTTGGGTGGGAAGCAGGGTCTCCAGCAGAGCCAGGAGAAAGTCCAGGCCAGGATAACACTGCTACCCTCACCCTTCCAGCAGCACCCCCAAGCAGCCTCTGGGCTTTCCTCCTGGGAAGAGAGATTCCTTTCTGTAAATGACTGGATTGGCTACTTCCTGAAACAGGTCACATGGCTAGGCCTAAGAAGTCACAACAAGCTTAAGATTTTCTCAAATATCCTGCCAGGTGCAAGTCCCTTACACTCAAAGGCAAAGCGGAAGAGGTCATCACTGATGTCCCCTGAGTATTTCCCAGAGCCCTGCTGATTGATGCGCCTGTGCAGGAGGCTGACGAAGTCCTGAGATACTGTGTTCAGCAGGGGCACGAAGTTCTTTATGGACTCCAAAGCCATCAACTCCTGGTTCAGGACTATCCGGTCTTTCTTCCAGTCTCCCGACTTCCTGAGAAGACATGGGCCCATGGGCCATCATGGTCACAGACTGTAGGCCTGGCAAGCACAGAAGAGGCTCTCCTACGATGCTAAGGCTTAGCTCTGAGTGTCCAGCACTCATATGAGGGTCCCCACCACACCTAATCCCAATACCTTCTGCCCCTCTCCTGCTCCCTGCTCCTACCCTTCCTGGAAGAGGAGACAGGAACAAAGACATGGTGAAAGAACAAAACCCTGAGCTCCCGCCACTTCCCCCCTTTGCTCCTGCTGCTGCTGCAAACCAGAAACTCACCTTATAACTTTTAGCAAATGTTCAGGCCCACCAGTCTTTACTTGAGCTGCCAGGCTTGCTTTCCACGTCACTTCCCCTTCTGCCTGGGCGATGCTTACCCTCTGCTACACAAAGGCCCCTCTGTCACCTTTTATTACCTACCTCTCCTCCTCGGTACCCTGCATGCTCTCCTATGCATTTTAGTGCAAGGGTTTACTTGGGCTAATCATAATCCTCTGTTTGTTGTCTTGAAAATTGATCCATACAATGCCTCTTTGGTTATTATGTTTTTTTTTTTTTTTTTATTGGTAGTGGTGATCATAAGAATGTTATTTTAAACTCTCCACCTAACAGGAAAAGTAGGAACTTACAATATCTTAATTTGCCTTCCTGGTCCTCCTCCCTCCTACCTACTGCCTCCCCATCTAAGGCAGCCTCCACCTGTATCTCTTGCTTTCTTTTGTGGATGGTATTACCTGATCTACTTTTATTTCTAAAAATAAACATGTTTCTAAAACATACTTTTAAAAAATATACACTTTTTTTTTTTTTTACTTCTTAAAAAAGCTGTCATGCTTCTAGGGACTTCCATTTGTTACTCAATTTTATATTTCTAGTTGTCATCCATGTTGTTGTGGAGTCCATTCACTTTGACAGGCCACACCATGCTTTACTCACTTATGCTCCAGCTGAGAATTTAGGTGTCTTCTTGACTTTTGCTATGACAAACAACATTCCTGCAAACATTCCAGCACACGTCCATTGGGGCAAATGTGCAAGAATTTCTTTAGAGTATATCCTTGAGAGGAGCTCTGGTAGCATAGTGCCTAAGGCACTTGACTGCTAACCAGAAGGCTGGCAGTTCAAACCCACCAGCCACTCCTCAGAAGGAAGGTTGGGCAATCTACTTCCTTAGGGATACCGCCTCAGAAACCCAAGGAAGGGTCACTATGAGTCAGGTCCGACTCGACGGCACATAACAACAACATATCCTTGAGAGTAGATCTCTGGGTCATAGGTGTGTGAGCATGCAACTTTAGAAAACAATGTCCAACCATTTTCCAAAGTGGTGGCACCAGTTTACACTCCTACTAGTAGTATACTGGGAATCCCTGGGTGATACAAACAGTTGACACACTCAGCTGCTAACTGAAAGGTTTGGAAGTATGAGTCCACCCAGAAGTACCTTGGAAGAAAAGCCAGCAGTTTACTTCCCAAAAAATCAGCCATTTAAAGCCCTGTGGACCACAATTCTACTCTGATACACATGGGGTTGCTATGAGTCATAGTCAACTCACCAGCAACTGGTGGCTGTAATGTATAAGAGTTCCAGTTTCTCCACATCCTGCCAGCACTTGATGTGGTCACATCTTAAAATGTTGATGAGCAATTTAGTGGAAAAATGATATCCACTATGCTTAAATACATTGATTTGTCCATGTTTCTCCTGCCTCTTTAAACTATGAGGGACTCAAAGCGGCAGGGCCCTGCCTTACTTGTTATTGTATCCCCAGCCCTGGCACAAGGCTGAACATGTAGTAGGTTCTCGGTGAGATGAAACTTAAGGAATGGACCAATAAATGAGAACTTTGCCAGGTCTTATCTTATGCATTAATATCTTCAGCTTCACCAATTCCTTGAAGGTTAGTGGGCAGTTTATCATCCCCATCACTGTTTTATGGAGGCAAGAAGATAATAGGGATTTAGCTGGAGGCCCCAGTTAGAAAGGGCAGGGACAAGACTGGACCCTGACCCTCACCCCCAGGCTCTGCCCTCCCCTCATCTCTATCATCCCCTGGGAGATGGCCCAGAACTCACTTGAGCAGGACCCCAACAGGTTTCTTGTAATGCTGGTGGTAGGCAACCCAGGGTGGGATTTGGTAGCGTTCTGGACTAGGACCCTCAGACTTAAAGAGAATGGCCACATCTTTAGGATCAATGATAAAAACAGAGTCCAAGGTGCCAAGCTTCTCCCTGGAGGGTTAGAAAAGAAGGAATGTGTCATAAAGACCCGAGAAAAGCCATGGAGATCCTGGGCAATGGTCTCAGCAGGACCATGTGCTGGTTAAAAGCACATGCTCCAGAGTCAGAGGGCCTGGATCTGGCTCCTGGTTCACAGCTTACTTGCTGTGTGACCTGAGGCAAGTTCCTTAACCTCTCTGAGTCTCTGTTTCCTTTCCAGTAACATGAAAGTAAATATAGTACCTATCTCACAAAGCTGCTGAAGGACAGAATGATATGATATAAACGTGATGATATAGATGATAATGATATAGACATGATGCTTCTTAAAGACTCTATAAGTAACAGCTTTATTATCAACTTTATCATAGTTGCTGCAGGATCAGCCCCGCTCCAGAGTCTTCCTTGGACTTTCAAGTCCTCCATCCTACACCTGCTCATCCTGTGTCCTCACTCTCCACACTGGCCCCCACTATCCACCCCTGTAGAGCTTAGAAATTTAGCATACTTGGCATGTCATCACTGGAGTGAACTCCATGCACTATGGAAGAATACCATGTAGCTCACCAGATAGTCCACCTACCAGACCAGCCAACCCTTCTAGACTCTTGGATTGAAATTCTGGAAGCAATCTCCCTGACCCCAAGAGTCAGACACAGGACAAACATGAAACTTTTAACATGAAACTACGGTAAAATATCAGATGCTATGTACAGATAGGCCTGACAAAGTGTTTTGCAAGACAGTCTCTATTAAAACACAAATGTTGTGAAACAACAGAAAATTCCACTTCAAGCTTGCATCTACCTTTTGCATAAGAAAATTAATTCAAGATATACTTTAAGGCAAAATAGCAAGATATAAAAACACACAGGTATAAGCCAAGTGTGTATGTGCATGTGTGTGTGTGTGTGTGTGTAAGAGCAAGTGCCACATTACCCACTGACTCATAAAGCCTTGGCCTGCTTTCCCAAGCCCCTCAGGTTCTCGTTTATCCTGGCTTCCCAGAAAGTCACGTAATTGTCTGATCACCACACGTCCTCACATCATTAACCTATTCTACCCTCCACACCCACTCCAGCTCCTGCAAAATCCTTGAACTGCTATCATTATTATCAACTCCACACTCCACATTTGGAAATCTAGTCCCAGGGGATGAACTGACAATTGGGCAACGGTGCCTGAGAGAAAAGGATGTTTAGGCCAACAGTGCATCTACTAGCAAAAAAAAAAAAAAAAATGAGAGGGGGCTGAACCTTGGCTTTAAAGAACTGGCTGGAAAAATAAGGCATATCCATACTATGGAATACTATCCTTCCTTTTAAAATGATATTAAGAAAGGAAGAAAACAAATCATCAGTCTATTGTGGGACAACACCAAACAGCACATATAATACGTTCACATTCTTTTTTTTTTTTTAATTTTTATTGTGATTTGGGTAAAACTTTACAAAGCAAATTCATTTTCCATACAGCAGCTCACATACACTTTGTCTCGTGACATTGACTGCAATTTCCCACAATGCAACAGCTTCCCTCCCACTTCCTCCCCATAGTTACCTCTTCCCTGTGTCCTTCCCTCCCATGCACTCCTGCCCCCCTTGCACTGCCTCCCTGTACATACACAGCCCCTCTATTCTCCCAGGATTGATCTCTCCAAGGAGTCTATTTACCTAATGTAAATGTTCAACTCATATGCCTGTCTTTTGTTTGGCTGGAAGCCACAGGAGTGGGTTCAATTCCAGACTTGAAGGACAGCTAGAACCACAGTCTCAGTGGTTCTATCAGTATGTTCACATTCTTGATGGAAATTATACTTGACTTAAATTCTTCATTTGCATTTGTCTACATTTTCTAAATAGTTCTATAAACCAAAATCCAAATTCACTGCCATCGAGTCATATCCAACTCATAACGACCCCTCCTTGGGTTTCTGAGGCAGTATCACTACAGAAGTAGATTGCCCACCCTTCTTTCCAAGAAGTGGCTGGTGGGTTTGAACCACCAGCCTTCTGGTTAGCAGTCAAATGCCTTAGGCACTACGCTACCAGAGCTCCTAAAATTGTTCTATAAGAACAGGAAGAAGTTTTGTATTGATAAAAAGCCTACAAAAGTTGTATTTAAATTCTTCCCATTTACCCAGAAGTTTATCATTTTCCATGCTATGAGTTCAGCGCTGTGATAGACAGGGACTAGAAATCAAACAATTTGGGTTCCGGCTCTGGCTTTGCCCTGCTGAGCTTTATGATCTTGGTAAGACCCTTCTCCTCCCTGGGTTTCAGTTTTCCCACCATAAGATGGAGATAGGAGTCCCTGGGTGGTGCAAATATTTAACATGCACAACTGCAAACCAAAGGTTGGAGGCTTAAGTTCACCTGGAGACACCTTGGAAGAAAGACCTGCTGATCTACTCTGAAAAATCACCCATAAAAACCCTATGGAGCACAGCTGGACTCTGACACCCAGGGGGTCTCCATGGGTTGGAGTCAATTCAACAGTCACTGGTTAATATGAGGATAACAACACCAATATCAGGAGCTCTGGTGGCGTAGTGCCTAAGGCACTTGACTGCTAACCAGAAGGCTGGCAGTTCAAACCCACCAGCCACTCCTCAGAAGAAGATGAGGCAATCTACTTTCATAGTGATACTGCCTCGGAAACCCAAGGAGGGGTCGCTATGAGTCGGGTCCGACTCGATGGCACATAACAACAACACTACCACCAATATCAAGGACATGTTGCAAGGCTAAGATGGAAGTGACCCAGAAAACAGGAAGGGACTGGATAAAATGAAAAGTCATTCTTGTTCCTACTTGGGTGAGGGATAGGAATTGGGGAAGGAAGATGAGGAGAGGAAGCAGAGCATGGGAGAAAGATTATCATAAAGTGAGTTTGGGGACAGAGGCATCCACAGACCTAGGAGATGCAGAGAGGGGAGAGAGGGAAAGACATGGCAACAACCTTCTCTCAAGCCCAAGCACTCAGCCACCCACATTCCCAGACCCTCCTACCCTCTCATTACACCCCCTCATTCCGCCCCCTCATTCCGCCCCCTCTTCCCACACCCTCCACCACCCTCACTTCCACCAGTGTAAAAGACTGTAGTTTAGACTTCAGAAGGAATTGTGGGTGAAGGAGAGTGATCCTGAGGAATGGGCAGCTAAACCCAACGCAAACAAGCTGCCCTTCTACCCTAGCCCACCTCATGCCTGCCCACATTTCATACCTGTGTTCTTTCCCCAGCTCCCTGTACTCTGAATGCTTTCCTGAAGTCCCTTTAGGATTGCGTTGATAAAGCCCCTTTCACTTGAAGCAAAATGCACTGTCCCTCATCTCTCTTCCGTACTCCCATCCCCACCGAACACCTCTGCCACCTCCTGTCCTTCTCAACTTGCTCTCAGAAGAGAACCCAAGTGTGGCCCAAAGGAGAGCCACCTGGAAATTGCTAAAACAGGAAGGAATGAGACCTCCCTGCCAGAATAGCTCCCAGTTCATAGGCCTGGGGCTCAGAGGCCAAGAGACCAAAGGCCTCTCCTTAAGAAGAAACAAGGTAAGTGGTTGGGACAAGGTCAGATCGGCCTCTCTGAAACAGCTCCCAAAGCTACTGTGAATCCGGCACAGCAGTGAGAGACAATGTTAGCACTTCAGCAAGACGGCGATCTAGCAACGTGACCAGGCAAGAAACCTAACCTCTCTGAGCTCCAGTCTCCTCTTGATCATGCAGGTAATAAAAATCTCTTACAAGATGTCCCAAGGATAGCAGATGTCTGGCAGACATCGAGCAGTACTTGTTCTCTTACCACCCCCAAAAAGGTGTAAAGGGTGTGGGGCCTGGGGAGGGTTGAGACTGGGGGCTGGGAACTGACCCCACAGTCTGAGAAGCCTTTCCTCTCTCCTGCCACCTTCCCAGGCCTGGAAGAGATCAAATCAGGAGGACAAGGAGCCTAGAATGGAAGAGCCACTATTTGGGCAGAGAATAGCACAGCAGGAGGAGCCAGGCCCCTCGGCTGCCCAATTCTGCTGGCGCCCACCTTCTGCCAGGCTTACCTGTAAATAGGGCCAAATTTCTGGAAATTCTGGATGTTACGATAATGGAGTCCATGTATGCCATTCTCCCTCCAGAAATGGTACAAGTTCAGCCAGCCATTGTCACCAGGAGAAGGAATTTCACTGTAGGGGCGAGGGCTGCGAGCAAAGCTGCTGCTGGCTCTTTCTTCAGTGGACACCCTGGGATGCCCCGGGCCCTCCCGCAGGGCACTCAGGAAGGGCTGGCAGCCTTTAACCAGGACTGAGCGTGAAGGGAGCCCCCTGGCCAGCATACTGTCCCCAAAACCACTACTGTGTTTGCTACACTGCAGCAGGGCCTGCTGGGACAACCCAGCCCTGGGGCCCCTGGGCCAAGTTTATAAGCCCAGCTCAAGGCTAAGCAAAGAGCTGTGAGGCGCTTGGCCTCCCTCCTCCTCCCGCTGACTCCAGTTCACACAAGGCCCCTCCCAGACTGGGGTAACAAGGCTCACGGGCTACTCCAAGCACTAGGAGACTCTTCCATCTCTGTCCTTGGTGCCGCCCTAGCAGGCCCCTGAGATGCCTGTCTATGTCCCTGCCCTGGCTGGGCTGCCTCTGGCTCCTGAAGTGAGAACCAGCCACAGGATGGCTTCTGTCAGGATGTGTGGAGCCTCTGGGGCTTGGGGGGTAATGAGGGGCCAAGAGAAGGTCAGAGCCACCTTGCCAGTTTGGGAGCAGCACATATCTTCGTGTAACCCCACTATTTAGAAGTTAGATTATAAACTGTTTGTATAGTTACTGATTTTTAAAGTTCTGTTTTTTTCTTCTTGTGGAAAAAAATAATAACACTCTACATTTTATGAAAATTTTGTAATTGGCAGATATTGTTACTATTTTTAAAGATGCAATTTTCAATAATAATAATAAGCTAAATTGCAGTCATAATTTTCTCATTGTAGAACTCTGAGGAAAAGGATAAACAGAAAAAAAAAAAAAAAAAGAAATCTCAAGTCTTTCATGTTGATTGAAAGAAGCCACACACAAAAGAGTACGTGCTATTGAATTTCATTTTTATGAAGTTCAAGAATGATCAAAATTAGTTTATAGTGTTAGAAGTGGTTTCCTTGTGGGGAAATGACTGGGAGGGGACACAAGCAAACTTTTTGGGTGCTAGAATTGTACTCTGCCTTGCTCTGTCTACTTACATCTGTAAAAATTCACTAAACTCTATACACTTACAACTTCTGCATTTTATCAAATGTAAGTTATATATCAATAAAATACATTTTTTAATTCTATATATTTTTCTAAAAGATTGCTTTACCTACATGTAAAGAAAAGACATGTCTTTACAAGGAGGACACTGACTCTCGAGGGCTTAGGACCATAGTCTAGGGAGACATCTAGGTCAATCAGCATAACATAGCCCATAAGTCTGCAGTCTGCAGTATGGATTACATCTCAACATAAAGAAAGTGAAAATCCTCACAACTGGACCAAGAAGCAGCATCATGATAAACGGAGAAAAGACTGAAGTTGTCAAAGATTTCATATTACTTGGATCCACAATCAACACCAATGGAAGCAGCAGGCAAGAAATCAGACAACATATTGCACTGGGCAAATCTGCTATAAAAGACCTCTTTAAAGTGCTGAAGAGCAAAGATTTCTCTTTGAAGACTAAGGTGTACCTAACCCAAGCCATGGTATTTTCAATCGCCTCGTATCTATGCGAAAGGTGGACAATGAATAAGGAAGACTGAAGAAGAGCAAAGATTCCATAGTTGAATCCTGATCAAAAGGAAGAAAATACAGAACAGAATTCTCAAGGACTCTAGACTTTCTGGAACCATGGAGGCTAGATGAACCCCTTAAACTATTGACCTTTACACCAAGAATACTCCCTGAAGTCATCTTAAAATTGAAAAATAGTTTAGCTTAACTAGTATAAAAGCTCTGCCTTGAGCATATGTTCTTCTAAGAACTATGCATGTGGGATCAAATTGACAACAGTAACTCAAGACATTAGACAGGATGTTAGCAGGCAGGGGGTTTATGTTAATGAGGGAAGAACAACTCAGAAAAGGAGAATAAGAATAAGAAGGGCTCCACAATGCAAAGCATGTAATCAGTGTCACTAAATTGTACAGGTAGAAACAGTTGAACTGGTGTATGTTTCACTATGTATATTCTCAAGAACAACAACAAAATAAATAAAATTTAGAAGGGAAAAAAAAAACAACAGTAGGCATCCAGGGCTGGGCCGCCCAGGCACAAACTCCACAGTTTGCTCTTTGGGAGATTTGTTACGAATTGTGTCCCTCAAAAACATGTGCTGGAATTCTCACCCCTATACCTGTGGATGTAATCCTGTTTGGAAATAGGGTTTCTTTTTTATGTTAATGAGTCCATACCAGTATAGGGTGTGCTCTAAAGCTAATCACTTCCAAGTTACAAAAAGAGCAGATTAGACACTGGTACAGTGAATTACTCAATATGGGAGTTCTGGTAGCATAGTGGCTAAAGCACTTGACTGCTAACCAGAAGGCTGGTGGTTCAAACCCACCAGCCACTCCTCGGAAGGAAGGTTGGGCATTCCTACTTCCGCAGTGATACTGCCTCGGAAACCCAAGGAGGGGTCGCTATGAGTTGGGGCCAACTCGACGGCACATAACAACATAACAACAACAAGCCATAGTCTTTGTAACTCCCACCAAATCACTGGTTGGGACTATGCAAATGTGAGGTGTTTGTGGCCCACCAAGGGGATTGGATAGCTTGCTAATAATGTAAATAAGATGCATGGCACTCTTGTAGGGATGGGACCATGCAAAACAGAATTCTCACAGTTTAGGAAGCTTTAAGTCTGAAATCAGTCTGAAACTGGCTCTAGGGGAAATTTCCTGTCTCGGTTGGCTCTAGAGGAAGGTCCTTGTCCTCTCAGCTTGTTTCCTGGTTCCTTGGCGATCTCCATGTGGTTTGGCATCTATCTTCCCCTATCTCTGCTTGCTTAGTCTACTTCTTTTGTATCTTGTAAGAGACTTAAAGATTTAAAGTATACCCTACACTAATCCTGCCTTGTTAATGTAACAAAGACAGCCTATTCCCAATTGGGATTATAATCACAGGCATAGAGGTTAAGACTTACAACACATATTTTTGGAAGACACAATTCAATCCATAACAATTGCCAAATGATTTTTCATCACCCTTAACAGAAACTCTATGTCCCTTAAGCAATAACTTCCCGTATCACCCTCCCCACAATTCCGGGTATCCACTAATAAATTTTGTCTGTATGCATTTGCCTATTTGACACCATTCATATAATTGGGGTCATAAAATATTTGACCTGTTGTGACTGACTTAAGGAACACTGGTGGTGCAGTGGTTAAGTGCTTCACTGCTAACCAACAGTCGACAGTTTAAATCCATCAGCTGCTCCAGGAGAGAAAGATGTGGCAATCTGCTTCCATAAAGATTATAGCCTTGAAAACCCTGTGGGGAAGTTTGACTCTGGGGAATTGACTCCAGGGCAACAGGTTTGGTTTTTGTGTCTGGCCTATTTCACTCAGTACAATGTTTTCAAGGTTCATCCATATCAAATAGCATATATCAGAACTCCATTTCTCTTTATGGCTGAATAATACTCCATAGTGTATAAACACAACATTTTGTTTGTACATTCATCTGCCAAAGGATATAGAGGTTGTTTCCACATTTTGGTTATTATGAATAATGCTACAAAGAACATTGGTATACTATGTCTGTTTGAGTTGCTGATTTCAAATCTTTTGGGTATACTCCTAGGAGTAGAATTGCTAAGGAGCTCTGGTAGTGCTGTGGTTAAGGCACTGGGCTGATAACATAATGGTTCAAATCCACCAGCCACTCTGCTGAAGAAAGATAAGGCAATCTGTTTCCATAAAGATTTACAGCCTTGGAAACCCTATGGGGGTTGCTATGACTATATTGGAAGAATTATGACTATGTTGCTATGACTATGTTGGATGAATTCTATGGCAGTGGGTTTTTATGGTAATTTTGCATTTAACTTTTTGAAGAACCGCCAAGCTTCACAGCAGCTGCACCATTTCATATTCTCACCAACAATGAATGGGGAGGGTTCCGATTCCTCCACATTCTCACCAACACTCATTAGTTTCCATTTTTCTGATAATTGCCATCTGTCTTAATTTCCTAGAAATTTGTCTTCTCACCATTTAGGAGGTTAGATCCAAATTCAGCACATCAAATCTAAGGGAAATCTCACTCTCTCTTAGTTAGCTCTAGTGGAAGATCCTTGTCTCTTTCAGCTCCTGGAGCCCGTGCATTCCTTGGCTTCTTGACAATCCTCACATGGCATCTGCCTTCCCCATTTGTGTGTGCCTCTCTATCTCTATGCTATATCTCTATGTGTCTATTATGCTGCTCTTCATATAACTCAGAAGTGATTAGGTTTAGGATCCACCCTACAATGGATTACATCACATTGGATTGCATTATGGAAAGCGATTCCATTACAGTAAATTACATTACATCCACAGGTATAGGGGTAGAATTCCAGTACATTCCATAGGGAGGAGGATACAATTCAATCCATAATACTTTTGTGCACAAATTCCTGGAAATTTTTTTTTATATAATTGATTTAATAATTTCTCCCTTCCATTTTCTCTGTTCTCTTATTCCTGCAACTACTATATTATTCATATATTGAACTTCCTGAATTTATCCTTTATTTTTTTTTCTTTCCTCTCCCATTATCCATCTCTTTGTCTTTTCATTCCACATAATGAGAAAGTGCCTACCTCGGCTTTCAGCTCCTCCGTGGCAAGTGTTATTTCCATTAAATTTCCAAAAGCTCTTTTGTGTCCGGATGTGGACATAGAATTTCTCTTAACTCTCCAAAGATATTATTCATAGGTTTTTGGGTTTATTTCCGATTTTCTTTGGCTCTCTGCACTTTTTCCATTTCCTCTGAGCTTATTTTTCTGCTTATTTTGATTTCTGCCTTTCATGTTAGAAATTTCCTCAAATGCCTGCTGATTTTCAACAGTCCATTTAAATGGACTCAGGGCCCAAAGAGCTAGTCAGGGTTTGGAGCAGGTGGACAGGGCTTCTCCAGCCACAGCTTCAGGGCAGATGCCCAATGTCAGTAGCTATACACATTTTCACTGGAACTGGTCATTTTCCCTGAAGAAGAGTCTTATAAATTCCCCACAGGGACCTCTTTCTGGCTTCACTGTGGCTGGTGTCCTTGATTCCAAACACTCATTGGCTCAAAGTCTCCGGAGAGCAAATCTCACCACCT